AATATTTCTCATCCTCCATTCATTAAATGTGCAGAGGCAAAACCTGCAGATACTGAAAGCTGACTACATGTCACAAAAGTCCTATACCAGGGGGCAAGGAAAGTACCAACTCTCACCCATTTTTTCTTTCTTTCCTTCTCCCTTTCTTTTTTCATTTTTTTGGTGAAACTGGGGTTTGAACTCAGGGCTTTGTGTTTGCAAAACAGGTGTTCTACTGCTTGAGCCATAGCTCCAGTCCAGTAAATTCCAATTCTAACCCTCTCTAACCTTCTTGAAGCTACTAACTAGGGCTGAGAATGCTGAGATACCCATGAAAATCACAACTTAGGAAATTTGCATCCTAAAAATAAAAACTAATTATGCATCCCCAGAATGCTTGCCTTCCTTCACCATGTAGCACTACATCAACAGGGATCCTGTCCAACAGCACAACATAACTGAAAGAATTGCATGCCTCGTAGCTTATTTACAGTCTCTGGGGGTACAATCAAAAACTGGGTAAAACTAACAAAGTGGGCGAATTTCTAAAAACACAGAAAATCTACATACAACTAATAAGGTCCTTAATGCAATAATCAAAAAAATCTCTGTTATAGTTGAAATGTTTGTGTGTTCTATAATTCATGTTGAAACTTAATCCCCAAAGAAACAGTATGAAGAAGTGGCACCTTTAGGAAGCAACTAGAGCCTCAGAGTCCTTTATGAAATAACTGGAGAAAACTAGGTAGACCCATTTCCCTTCCACCTTTCGCAATGTGAAGGCATAGAAACAAGGCACATTTTTGGAAGCAGAGACCAGGGACAGTGGCACAGTGTATATATTTACTCTATGGAGGCTAGGAGTATGAGGAGTGTTAAGTCTGCTTGTAATTACTATAACAATGGATTACATCTCAGTACCTACAAAGAAAGGAAGTTTATTTTGGCTCACAGTTCTCTGAAGGAAACATAGGACAAAATTTCCTGACATCATATATGCTAATGATTTCTTGGATCTGACAACACAACAAAGGGGATTGTGGACGTAATGGTGAAAGAAAGAAAATTTTAGTGAGGGGGAATAATTTCAACAGACGTATGGTACAACAGGGCAACTTTAACTACTGATAGTCTACTACAGTATAGTAATTTCAATTGTCTGACATTGATATTCAAAACACTGGAGAAGGAGTAGAATCTGTTGTCTAAAGCTACTAAATTTATAAGATTCAAATGCCACTTTTAAACAACAAAATCACAAAAAGAAAGCAGAATATGGCTCATTATGGGAATAGGTATTAAAATAATACCACAGATATTGTACTTAAACACTTTAAAGCCATTGCTTTAACTATTAGCCCAAAGCGTTAAGCATAACCATGAATAAAGTGATAACAATAAGAATCATAGTCCTGAGATGGTAGCACTTGCCTGTATTCCCACCACTAAGGAGGCTGAAGCAGGACAGAGTTTGAGGTCAACCTTGGCTACATAAGGAGTTCCTCTAACCAAAAAAAAAAAAAAACCCTTCCAGTTCATGGGGCACTGGTTCCCGTGATCTGATAAGCCTGAAGACCCTGAGTTCAATCCCCAACACCATGAAGAAAGAAAGAAAGAAAAAAAACCAGAGTTGGTTTTAAACTTTAGAATCAACCTTCATATGGGGAGGCAAACACCCCAAATGACTAATATGATATACTTGAGGATAAAGGTGCAGGATTGCCACTACATGATATGGAAGCACTTTTGTAGCTTTGTATAAAGCTATAATAATCAAGACAGTGTGTTATTTGCAAAAGAGGACAAATAAATAAACACAACAATGAACCCCAAGTAAAACCACACAAATACTGCAAAAAATATTTGACAAAAAGCAAAGGCCATTCAGTTGAAATCTACAGTCATTTCAACAAATGGTGCTGAGAAGCCTTGACATCTGTAGGCACAGAAATGAATTAGCCATATATTTTACAACTTTTGTAAGACAATGGATGTATTTGCACAGTTGGGCATAGTTAAGGGGAGGAAATGGGGAAGTGGGTAAGAAATTAGTATTCCAAAGGGGCCCTTAGGTAGATCATATAAAAGGAAGAGACCTGGGTAATGGGTCTTTGAATAAGTGACCTCACATCCTTAGTATTAGACCCCAAAAGAACTTAGGACTCTGGTAACTAGGAACCCACAACCTGAGACAGTCCCTTATCCAACTCACATGAAGGGAAATGCTCAAGAGAACAATATGTTCTCTTGATGTATCCCAAATTTCCAAGGCTTTAGTCACAAAAAAGGTGCAGAGTGGGAGCACCTTTAGATTCTGGCTCAACTCTGGATGCCCTGGGCAATATTAGGAGGTTGCCACAGGTAGCAGAGGACAGCCCAGAGTAGGTTCATCCAGGACAGTCCTCACCTGTGATCTGTGATCTCATATAAGCAGTCCTCTCCCTTTCCTTTCCCTATGTTGTGTGTGTGTGTGTGTGTGTGTGTGTGTGTGTGAGAATGAGGTAAAGAGGGACTTTCCTGGACAGAAGCCAATTATTAGGTGTTGGAACCCTGCTTGGTCATTCATGTTCATAGCCCAGGTCATGGGAGGTAGGATGAAAACTAAGTATTGGGGGCCAGTTTGTCCACTCAGATTGGGCTATAATTTGCCTTCTATCCTGGTTGGAAATCTAAGTATATGCTCCTATGAACCTGATCTGGAGAGAATGTGTAATGGCCATGTCCCTTTGGGCACAAACAAGCAGGGTTGCTGATGCCTCCTGGCCTGATGGATGAGCTCTCTTTTGCAGAGCTCCATGCAGATCAGGGTGGAGCCATTTGATAACCCAATCCTTGGACCAATAGCAGATGCACGATATTACCAACCAAGACCTATGCCACTGTGGGATGAGAGTAGGTGTAGAAGGGTCTCCATGGACAAGAACTTAAAGAGGAGTAGGTGGTAGAAGGTAACACACACGCACAGGAAATCAATGTGAGTCAGTGCCCTGTATAGCTATCCTTATCTCAACCAGTGAAAACCCTTGTTCCTTCCTATTATTGCTTATACTCTCTCTTCAACAAAATTAGAGATAAGGGCAAAATAGTTTCTGCTGGGTATTGAGGGGGTTGGGGGGAGAGGGAGGGGGCAGAGTGGGTGGTAAGGGAGGGGGTGGGGGCAGGGGGGAGAAATGACCCAAGTGTTGTATGCACATATGAATAATAAAACAACAAAAATTAAAAAAAAAAGAGGAGTAGGTGGTTCCAAGACCCAGAATCAAATATAGGGACACCCCTGGACTCTGTCCTAGGGCTTCACCATTTGAAACCAACAGTTTAGTTCCCAACAGAATCTGGCTCCATTACTCTGCAATAGTACCATCCCTAAGAACAAAATTCTAGATCTCATACTTGTAGAAATATCAGAGAAAACAGTTTTGTATCATTTTCACTTTACATTAGTCCAAAAGAATCTTTGTGACCAAGCGCTGGTGGCTCATGACTGTCATCCTAGCTGCTTAGGAGGCAGAGATCAGGAGGATCCCGGTTCAAAGCCAGCTCAGGGAAATAGCTTGAGATCCTATCTTGAAAAAAACTCATCACAAAATAAGAGCAGTGATTACCCCCAAAAGGAGGTTAAACTATCTCACACTTTTTTTTTTTTTGTAGTATGCCATCTCATAGAACACATCACTGTAGAACTACCAGTACAGCAGCTGTGGCCCCATTCATGTTCATACCCTAGGAGAGAAGGAATATTCCAATAAGAAGTGTCATTTCTTGCATCAGAACAGACTTTCCATGTGGTAGGAATCTGATCTTTCAAGTGTATTTTCAGGCTGGTGGAGTGGCTTAAGAGGTAGAGTGCCTGCCTAGCAAGTATGAGGCCCTGAGTTCAAACCCCAGATCTACTGGGAAAAAAAAATCAACTTTTTTCATTTCAACCTAAAATGTTACATCACCTGAAAGGCTGTGTTAGCTTCCAATGGTTGTCAGTTAATAGCATAACTTCATTTCTCTCATAATTCTGGCCAGATGGTTTATTCTGAGACCTCTCTCCTTGGCTTGCAGATTGCCATCTTGATCGCTCTGTTCCCATCATGTACTGCTCTGTGCCCCCTCTGTTCTTTTTGCTTCTTTTTACGATGACAGTAAACTAATCAGACTAGTGCCCGTCTCAATTAAATGGCTGAATATGAATTATGTACAGTTTGAAGCACCGTAACTGAACGCAACGGGATGGAACCTAAGTGGGTGCTAAGCCAAGCTAGCATGCTAAAGAAATGTTAAAAAAAAAATAAATAAAAGGCTGGAGGAAGATTACCTGCAGCAGGTAAGGAGAGAATAGTTATTTACAAAGAGGAAGTGTCTGTGTGTGGGGGGTTATCCCTGGCCCCTATACCTATTCATATGCGAAAGCACTTTGGGGGCGGGTACATTTCAGAGCATGCATACTAAATTCACAATGCACTTATCTTGAGAATACTCAGTATACAGTTCAACAAAGAACGACGTGGACAGGAATGCTTGAGGCCCACTCAGTTGCGTCACAAAGATGGCGACAGGAATGCTTCTGGCGCGTATGATACGTCATAAAGATAGCGACAGAAACTCTTCAGGCGCATGCAGTTGCGTCATAAAGATGGCGACAGGAATGCTTCCATCGCGTGAGGCTCGCGGCATAAAGATTGATTCCTGCAGTGAGTTGGTTTTTAAGTCCGTCTGCACTCTGGGGAGCATCTTGTCAGAGAGATCAGGCAGGGCCTGCCCAACCAGTCCTTTAGCTGCAGCCAAAAAATGACACTTTGAGGTACGTGAGTTCAGAAACATTGTCCTTTTGACGTCTGCCTCAAGTTGGCCGCTCTCATGTGTTAAGAAATCAACATGTATTTTTGTGAGGGGACTCAGTTTACTTCATAACGTATCCTAGACTCCTGCTAACAATTCATAAGGCGATATCACCTGCAATACAGGGTTAATGCAAATGTTTAATTATGAGGCTGAGTCTTGCCGCTGGAAACCGTTCATTGAAATAGCAGGCTGCTGCATAGAACTTGTCATTGTGGCCTCTTTCAGCCATCGGTTGGTGTGAATTCATGTCATTCATGGACTGAGGGGACAGGACCAGAAGCTCTGCCCAATCACACACGCAGAGAGCAGGGGGCGGGCTTTCCCAATCTTCCGGGTTTTTGTCGCGGAAGCCCGCCATCCACCCGCCATCTTGTAGTCCTTCAAGCTGTTTCTCTGCCCTGGACATCCAGCCGGCACTGTCGCCCTGTTACGTGCCAGTGCTAGGGAGGACTCTGGACACCTCGGGAGTCAGAAATGGTGAGTGTGCGCGGCGCCCTGCTGACATTGGGGGAGGGAGACTGTTCGTATCCGGCGGGAACAATCTGTGGCGTTCTTGGGTCCCGCTGCTACCTGCTCCAGAGTCTGCGGGCCCGGGCCCCGCATTAGGGCAGCTCCGCCCTGGGTCTGCTTTTGCTATGGGGTGTGGGGTAGGCTGGTACTCGGGCCGGGAATTGTCCTGTCAGTTACTGATTTCATCCCTGTTGGAACCCTCTCTGGGTAGCGGGGTCCCTTACGGCTTTTCGGAGGGGTCTGGGCCAGCAGCTGCATGACTTCATCTCCAATGGAGACCTCTGGCACGCTATGCCCAGGCCTCCCTGTCTCCCCATATGCTGTGGAGGTGTGCGGATGTGTGGCGACGATAGGGAGGATCGTGGTAGGAGGATCCTGACACAGTACACAGGGTTCCCTCCTGAGAGGAGCTATGGTCCCCAGGCCCCGGTCTGCCCTTCCTCTTGTTGGGTCCACCAGTTTCCCCCCAGCTTTCCAAATGTGTGGGAGGCAGGATCTCAAATCCGGAGTTCTGTCCCCCCACTCTCCAGCCTATAAATCCCTAAATACTTCCTCCCAGCCCACATTCCCGAATACCAGTTAACTCTTTCCTCAGCATTATCAGCTATTTGTTTCTCACAGTACGTTTCAGACAGTATTTTGTCGTCTTTTTCGAGGTACTAGAGAAAAGCATTTTTTTTCTGTTTGTTAACTTTCCCATGATGTTTGTGTTTCTTTGGCTTTCCCAGGCACAGACACCTTATCAGAGTGCCTTTGGGTTGAGCTTACCCTTTGGAGATGAAGGGTGATGTGTGATGTGTCCTCATCCCACCCTCCTGTGGTTTCTTGTCCTGGGTTTCGGAATTGCCCACCATTGGGTGCTCAGACGTGTCCTGTGTCTGGTCTCTTGTTTCTTGTGCATAAACAGAAGTGTGGTTTGGAGGAATCATATGATAGTTCTGTGTTTAATTTTTTTAAGAACTGTTGTACTTGGGCTGGCAGAGTGGCTCAAGTGGTAGAGCGCCTGCCTAGCAAGCGTAAAGCCCTGAGTTCAAATTCCAGTGCTGCCAAAAAAAAAAAAGAAATCAAAGAACAGTCATACTGTTTTCAAAAATGGCTGTACTAAATTTGTGTTCTCACTACATTTGTATCAGGGCTCCCTTTTTGCTATATCTATCTCCTCTCGAGTACATGTTATCTTTCAACTTTTTCTGAGAGGGGGAGGGCTGGGTTTGAACTCAGCATCACCCAGAAAGGCAAGTGCTTTACTGCTTGAGTCACACTTCCAATTCATTTTGCTCTGGTTATTTTGGAGATGGAGTCTGGAGAACTATTTGCCTGGGCTAGCCTTGAACCACAATCCTTGCAATCTCAGCCTTCCAATTAGTTAGGATTACACTGGGCATAGCCTTCAACTTTTTTTGGGGGGGTGGTTTAGGGGGATGGTACTGGGGTTTGAACTCAAGGTTTGGCACTTACAAAGCAGTCATTCTACCACTTGAGCCACACCTCTGGTCCTCAACTTCTTGATAAATCATTCTGATAACTGTACTCAGGTTGCAGGGGGCGATCTACACATTGGTTCATTAAATACCTGGTATAACTTTGTTAGAATCTGGGCTGTCACGTAGCCTGTGGAAGAATGCTGTCTGTAAACCTCTTCTGGGAACAAGGATCTGTGCTTTTAAAACCTTCTTTGCACTACTGCCAGGATTGTAGCCCATTTAAAATCATGTTTTTCTGAGATCCAGGGATATCTACACATGCCCAGTCTGCTTTGCTCCCAGACCTTGGAGGATTAGGATTTAGTCCCTGGAATGGACAGTGTTAAAGCTTAGACACCCAGTGCGTGGACAAATTCCTTTCAGGAGTTACTGATAGAACTGGAGTTGTCAGTGGGGTGAGCCTGGGGAGAGGCCTAGAAAGTGCTGAGCTCCTATCCAGACTGCCAGAGGGCTGCTGGGTTTTTTTTGTTTGTTTGTGTTTGTTTTTTGTTTTGCTTCCTTATTAACCTCTTGGAGCAGGCTAGATAGAAGCTCCACTGTCAGCTGCAGCTGACTGTGCTAGAAAATCTCTTCCAGGAAAAACTGGATCCTTTGAATTTTAACCCCTACTCTGTTCTGATCCCAGGAGATGAAGCCAGTGGAGGTACTTGGATGACCATGTAACATCACCATTTTGTTCTGTGTTCTAGAGATTCTGTTGTGTGCCTTGTCTTTTTCTCTCCCAGTACTGAGTGAATTAAGATCCACCCACAGGGAACTTCAGAGTCAGGGTGCCACATGTATGCTCCCAATCTTAATTCCTCAGGGTGATACTGGGTGTTTGGGATTCTTTCTTGGGCATATCACCCAAGGCAGGACTCATGCCCACATGTGCCTCACCTTTCCAAGCTCATTTGATGTTGATGTTTTCTCACCTGCCCAGTATATAGAAGTCTCAACTCATTTGTGTCTTTGAGAGTGACTTGATTTGTGAGTAGATGTTTATTCAGCTTGTGGTCCAAGGATGGGGGGAAAGTCAGGGGCCTCCTATTCTGCTAGAGGTGCTGGGAATTGATCCCAGGGCCTTGCACATTGCAGGCATGTGCTCAACCACTGTGCTGTGTCCCCAGCCCCAACACCTGCCTTTTGATTGGATTATTTAATCTATTCAGATTCACTGTTACTTTTGATATGATTGTATTTAAATAGTACCTTTTAATAGCTCTTAACAATATAAGCCTTATGTCCATATGTGTCCATGTATTGCTTTTGTTGTGTTGTGATTCCTTGGTCTTTCTTACTGCAGTGTGATGACGTTTTATATTTGTTAGTTTCAAGTAATAATAACGAATCCTACTGTTTCTTGGCTAATTTCACAGACAGGCACACATACACACACATAACCTTCCAGATGTATTTTAAGATTTTGTGTTTTAATTCCTTCCTTTAAAAATTAGGCATGTTGAAATTATGGTGGGATAGTATAGACGAATTTGTGCATGCTAGGCAAACAACTACTGAGCTCCAGCTCTAGACCTAAAGTCTATTTTTTAACAGGGGCCAAATTCCAAAAGTATCTGAAGTCTTCTTGTTACTCATATTGGCTGCCTCTACCAAGTTTTCTCTTGATTATTATTTAGTTATCACACATACCTGCTTACTAGAGGGAAGCTGCTGTTCTTATAAATCTGATTTCTTCCTATTCCTATGTGTGTTTGATATTTTCTTGTGTATTGTGGGTGGTGTCTCCCACTGCTTGACAGCACCAGGCCTGCAATAAAGATCTCAGTACAAATGCATTTGTATACATTATTCAAATAGAATTGATGAGGATGGAATTACCATGAATAAAAGTCGATAATGAGGTGAGTGACAGAAAAGACTTGGGTACCTGAAAGTTCAGGGCAACCAGGCCAGTTCAGATGTTCATGGAAAAGTGCTGGCTCTGCCCATGGTAGAATGTTTCTATTCCCTTAAATCCAGAATGATTTCTTCTATCACCTTTATTTTTTCCATCACCTTCACCACTTCCTCTTCTCTTGAAAATGAAGCCCTCCTTCCCTCTGCTTCCCTACTCACATGTACTTTGTATGAGGTATCAACCTGAATTTGCAGGCTGGAATGATAAACGCACAGAGGCTATTCTATGAGTGATTCTTGGCTCTACTCACCGTGTGTTCTTGGACTCTCTCCTGTCCGTTCCATCCCCACACTCAGTTCTTCCTCCTCATTATGTGGTGGTTAGAGGGAGGACTAACATGTCATCCAGGGGCAGACATAGTAGGGGGGGATAACAACAGGGGAAGAGAGAAATGATGATAAAGCAAAGGTTAGAACTGCCCTACTTTTACAAGTCTGGAGGAGGCACTTTACAAGAAAGTGTCTTCCTACGTCCAAGGTGTTTTGGCTGCTAGCCTGTGTACACAAATTGTCCATCCATCCTCCACCCTGTGAGTGACAAATATTCTCTCCTCTATCACACTCCACCTCTAGAAGGCTCTTGTGGGCCCTCTTCTGTTTTGGCCTTAGCTTTGGTCTAAGGAGATGTGAACAAACACTAATGTAGTTTCTCATCACTTAGGGGCTGTCATCCAGAAACGACCTTTGCCCTATTAAAGTGTGCGCCTAAACACGCTTTAATAAAAGTGTGCTGATACGTAAAAGGCTATGTAAGAATCTCCTGTTTCTTGCTGCCAACATCTGAAGACAGGTCCCCTGTCTCCCTGCCTCTGTGGGACAACAGGAACATGACTTCTAAAGCAGCAGGTAGTTCACCCAGATGTGTTTCACATGGGCCAGTGAACTTCCGGCTTACGTCCTTAGCACTTCTAGTCTCTTGGTCAACCTCTCTGTCTTATACTCTCTTTGAAATAATTTGTCATCTCTGTACATACTGAAGTTGAGTTTACATTATTCTCTTCTAGTACAATAATGTATCACTGATTATAATCTTTCCTGGCCAATTTAATGAGTGTCTACTTTTATCTTTCACCTGGGGCTATTTTGCCACCTGCATAGATACTGGGATGGAGCATCTGGCTTGCTTTAAGAGTACATGTGTCCCCTGTTGTGGGCTAGGTTCATGCTAAGATTGTTAAAAATATCATGCTAGAGGTGGTGGAGTGGCTCAGGTAGTAGAGTGCCTGCCTAACAAGTGTGACACCCTGAGTTTAAACCCTATTACTATATGTATATATATATATATATATATATATATATATATACACACACATATACATATAAACATTCATCCAATCCCCACTGGGGTCCCTGATTCACTATGGGGAGTACTGTCCACTCCTAGTTGAATTACATGAGGAGAGTGAGGAAGCCAATGAGACAAAGCCATTATTAATTATCTTTTGATGTTTTGTTTTGTTTATTTATCTTTTAATTTTATCATTTTTACATTTACTTACATGTGCATACATTGTTTGAGTATTTTTGACTTAGGGTCTCATGAACTATTTGCCCAGAGCTGACTTTGAACCATAATCCTCCTGATTTTTGCCTCCTGACTAGCTAGAATTACAAGTGTGAGCCACCAGTGCCCAGCTCAGTCATTATATTTAATGAATAATAATTCAGTAAAATGAGGTGGGACTTAGAGTTGCACCATCTCTCCAGATCATATTGAGTGAAACATGAGACACACTGACTTGAAAATGACACAAGTGGGTTTCAGAAAGGTAAGATCCTGTGGAGTTTGAGGGTAGCTCCTGCTGGACCACCATCCTGTATCTGCTTATCTTTAAGGACCCCATCAGCACGTAGAATAATTTGTAACCACAAGCCAAAGAAACCAGCCCCCATCAGAATCTAGAATGATTGTCTCCTAAGGCCTCTGGAGGCTGTATGGTTCTGCTATAATGTTGATATTAGACCAGTGTCACTGATCTTGGATGTAACTTACCCATAACTAAAGGAGAATAATTCCTAACTTAACCATTACATTTGTTATAATTTTATTTTTTGGTTGTACTGGGATTTGAACTCAGGACCTTGTGCTTGCTAGCCATGTGCTCTACCACTTGAACCATTCCACCAGTCCTGTTAAAAAAATTCTTTTTCAGCAGCAATAGGAAACCAGGCTTTCTTACAAGTTGAATGTGTGCATCATGGAAGTGTAGCCAATGTTAGGTAATTGCTGGAAACATGAGTGAAGAGTTACTGATCTAGTGTCAGCAACAGCTTGATTAGGCACCTTCTTCACTCTGGTTACAGTATTAATTATTCATTCCTTAACTGCACATTCTTTGGAATGTGATCTAGGTGATGGAGCTTGACAAACATTCTCTTCAAGCTAGACATGGAGGTGTTCTTTTCACTTTAAGTATGTTTGAAAACTTATACCTTAACTAATCTTTTATTCTAAAAATAATTGAGACAATTATATATGTCTCCTGTTTTTTGTTTCCTTGGGGGGAGCTGGCAGTACTCCAGTTTGAAGTCAGGACCTCATGGTTACTTAGGCAGGTGATCTAACACTTGAGCTACTCTGCCAACCCTTTTTTGTGTAGGATATTTTTGAGATAGGGTCTCAACTGTGATAATCTGATTCCTGAGTAGGATTATAGGTGTGAGCTACAGGTGCCCTGCTCCGACAGCCCTTGTTCGTTGTTTTTTTTTTTTTTTGGGTGGTACTGGGATTTGATCTCAGGGCCTCATGCTTGTGAGTCAGGCACTCTACTATTTGAGCCACTCCACCACTGTTTTATGTTGGGTATTTTCAAGATAGGGTATCACAAACTATCCTCCCTGTCTGGCTTTGAACCTTGATCCTCTTATCTCTGTCTCTTGAGTAGCTAGGATTACAAGCATGAGCCATGGGTGCCTGACTGGCCGGCCCTTTTTCTGTTGGTTATTTTCTTTTAAGATATGGTCTCACTTCATGTCTGAGCTGACCTGGGCTGCGATCTTCCTGCTTGTGCTTCCCTGTGTAGCTGGAGATGACAGGTGGGCACCATGGTGCCCAGCTATTGTTTGACATGAGGTCTTAGCAAGGTTTTTGGCCTGGCTGTCCTCCAACCATGATCCTCCCTAACTCTGCCTCCCAGATAGCTAGGATTATAGGCTTGAACCTATGTGTCTAGCTTATCAGTAATTTACTAATGGGCTAGCAGAATGGCTCAGATGGTAGAGGAGCCTGCCTGCATAGCATGCATGAAGCCCTAAGTTCAAACCCCAGTACCACTACCACCAAAAATAAAAAAAAGGAATTTACTAATAACAATGAGCACATGAAATTTAGGTTATTGGAATTAATTAGCTTAAGTTTTTAAATGTATAATCAACGGATTATCAATTACTGAATATACTTACTGACTTTATCACTATCACTCATCCCCTTGCAGGAGCACTGAAGAGCACTTAGACATAGTGGTAGTTGTATTTCTACTAAGCTGACTTGTGTTCCTTGTACTTTGATTTCTGTTGCTTCACATTCCTGAGAACATGTTCATCATTCATGTAAAAGATATGACCCTGTTTGGCACTTCAGTGAAGCATAACCTGCTGATGTAGAACAACCTTTTTGTCTACTTCATGTACATGAACATGTGTTTTGGCACGTGATTGCAAGGATGTATGTATACCTAGATCTTCAGATTAAATATGGTCTTGTCAGGAGGAGAATTTTATTTATCCTGTTCTTGCTGGGAGTAAGAACTGTTCTAAGGAAGCCTCCATAATCATGTATTTTTTTGAATCACTAAATTAATACAGAGGTAATATATTTGTGTTAGCTTTTCTTTCTTGTAGAAAATAAGAGCACAAATCAAGCTTTGTCTTATGTAAGACAGACATACCCACAGAAGAATGAACTCCTATCTCCTTCCTGTTCCTAGAGCTTAACTTGGGTTGAAGAGAAATGTGTCATTTCAGGGGTTGCTGTCATTTGAGGATGTGGCTGTGGACTTCACCCGGGAGGAGTGGCAGGACCTGGATGATGCTCAGAGAACCCTCTACAGGGATGTAATGCTGGACAACTACAGTAGCCTGGTGTTCGTGGGTAAGTGAAAGCCCCAGGCACTCAGTACAGACAATTTGTTCCATTGCTAAATACAGGAATCATTTCTAATGGTTCTTTTATGCATTTTATCTGACACATAAAATTGCACTTGTTTATACAGTACAATATGGCACTTCAGTGTACCTATACAGTGTATAATGACCTGACCTGGGTAATTGGCAAAACTCAGACATATAAGGGCTGGTGGAGTGGCTCACATGGTAGAGTACCTGCCCCGGCCTAGCAAGTGCAAGGCCCTGAGTTCAAACCCCAATACCACCAAAAAACCAAAAAATCTAAATGTTATTCCTCCCATTCATATGCCCCTTGGCACATCTTTACCTTCCTCTATCTGTCTGTTGCCTGCACCCTTCCCAGGGTCTAATAACCACTCTTGTATTCTCTTCTTCTTTGAGATCAACTTTAGCTTCCCCATAAATAAGTAAGCACATGCGGTATTTTCTGTGCCTGACCTATTTCACCTGACATAATGTCCTCCAGTTCTATTCATGTCATAGCAAGAGGCAAAATTTTGGTTTTTGTTCATTTTTTGGTTTGTTTGTTTGTTTGTTTTTCCAGTGCTGAGGATTGAGCCAGGGCCTTGAACAGCTAGGAAAGTCCTTTACCACTTGAGCCTCAGCCCTTGTTTTGATTTGTTGTTGTTTGTCTTGTTTTATTTTTGGTGCTGCGGAATTGAACCTAGGCCTTTGTGCTTACTGAGCATTGGCTGTACCACTGAACTGCATTCCCAAAGTTTTCTTGTATTTGAGACAGAGTCTCGCCACTATCTTTGTTCGGGTTGGCCTCCAATTCACTATTTTCCTGACACTACCTCCTGAGCAGCTGGGACTATGGTGTGCACCTCTGTTCTTATCTCAGAATTATGCTTTTAATGACTCCATTTTTAATGGTCCATTGTTTATGTATATCACAGTTTCTTTGTCCATTTTTCTGTCGATGGACAGCTAGGCTGATTACGTATTTCGGCTTTTGTGAACAGTGCCACAATAAACATGCAAGTACAAGATTTCTCTTCAAAATACTGATTTCATTTCCTTTGAATAGTAGGATAGTAGTATTATTGTCGTAGTTCTATTTCTAGTTTCTTCTTGGAAACTGCTGTTTTTTGTAGTGGCTGTTGTGATATTTATTCGCCCAGTAACATACGAAGAGTTACCAACATTTGTAGTCCTATGTCTTTGGTAATAGCCATTCTAACTGCAATACAGTGATCCTCATTGTGATTTTGGTTTGTATTTCCCTCCTGACTAGGGATGTTTAGCATTTATTCACATATTTATTGGGCTATTTGTCCTCTTTTGAGCAATGTCTGTTCAGCCATTTGCCCAGATTTAATGTGATTATTTGATTTTCTGTTGCTTAGCTGTTTAAATTTCTTGTATATTATAGAAATTAATATACTGTTGAATAAATAATTTGCAAATATTTTCTCTCATTCTGTAAGTTGAATCTTCCCTGTATTGATTGTTTGCTTTTCTGTAATTCCATTTATCAATTTCTATTTTTTGTTGAATGTGCTTTTGGGTTGTGTCAAAAGAAAGTTTGCCTGGATAATTGTCTGCAAATGTTTTCCTTATATTTTATTCTAGTAGTTTCAGGTCTTCCACTTAAGTCTTTGATCCACTTTGAATTTATTTCTGCATATCACTTTTTGATGAGAATTTCCTTTGTATATGCTTGCTTCCTTTGTTGTAAAGCAGACTGAATATGTTTGTGAGCTTCCTATCAGTGATAAAATACTTGAGATAAACATCTTAAAAGTAGGAAAGATGTATTTTGGATCCTGGTTTTAGAGATTTTAGTCCACCAGAACATTACTTCCTTGCACTGTGTTCCATCTCCTGATAGCACCACAAACTGTTGACCACAAGTCTTTAGCATCATGGCCTTTGGAGGATATTTAACTTTGAGCATATAGTGACTGTATATTGATTTATTTCTGGGTTCTGTAATCTGTTCCATTGTACTGTGTGTCTTTTTATGCCAGGACCACATTATTTTGGTTAGAATGTCTTTTCACTATGTTTTGAAGACAGGCGTGGTAACAACTCCACCTTTGTTTTCCTTGTGCAAGATTGCTTTAACTGCCACACACAGGTGGCTCATGCCTGTGATCCTAGCTACTCAGGAGGCAGAGGTCAGAAAGATTGTGGTTCGAAGCCAGTCCAGGCAAATAGTTTTCGAGACCCTGTATTGAAAATACCCAACATAAAACAGGACTGATGGAGTGGCTCAAACAATAGAATGACTGCCTAAATAAATAGTGCTTTAACAACGTGGGGACTTTTGTGCTTACAAACAATGTGTAGGATGTTTTTTCTAATTCTGTGAAGAATGTCATTATTATTGAGAATAGGATTTCATTGGATCTGTAAATAATTTTGAGAACATGGACAGTATTTTTGTTTTTTTGAGACAACTCAGTATATAGCCCGGGCTAGTCTAACTCTTGATTTCTTATCAGCCTCTCGAGTACTAGGACTACAGGTATACACTACCATGCGTAGCTTGGCTACTAATTTCTGAATGTTGACTTTTTAATCCCACAACTTTACTGAATTGATTTATCCATTCAGACACTTTTGTTGGGGTCTTTAGGTTTTCTACACATAAAATCATTTAACCTGCAGACAGGAATGATTTCACCTCCTTTGTGATTTGGATACCCTTTATTTCACTCCCTTCCCTTATTGCTATGGTAAAACTGATGAAAAAGTATTAGAAGAAATCATTTCAGGGTTTCACCATCATTAAAATATGGGCTTGTGGGTTTTTTTTAAATAATCCTTGTTGCATGAAGGTACATTTCTTCTTTGTCTAAATTTTGAGGGTCTTTATGAAAGTGGGTGTTGAATTTTATCAAATGACTATTATATATCATTGAGATTCATATGGTTTTTTAATCCTTCCTCTGTTGGTATGATTAATTACATTTTTATATTTGTATGTTAGGTATTGCTTCCCTGAGATAAAGCACCCATCATTATGCTGTAGAAGTGGGTTTTTGTTGTTGTTGTTTTCTTTTTTAGCAGTACTGGGGCTTGAACTCAGGGCCTCATGCTTGCTAGGCAGTAGCTCTACCACTTGAGCCACTTCACCAGTCTGACTTGATTCTTTTCTCTGTCCTTTTTTCCTCTTATGCTTTTTACAGAGTATGATATGATTGATAATCTATTTTGGTCTAATCTATCAGGGGTTGTTTAAGCTTCCTGGAAGTGGATGTCCATCTCTTACCATGACTGAAAAATTTTTCATAGATTATATATTTTTATGTCCTTTCTATTCTCCATTTAGAATACCCATAATGCAAATTTTTGCTACCTTAATGATGGCTGATATGTATTAAATGCTTAGTCACTCTTTATTTTTTCCTTTTCTATAATGTGTTTTGGTTATTTTTAAAATAACCTGTCTTGAAGTTCAGGTTCAATTGTGCTATTGAGTCTTTCATCTCTTTTTGTTTTTATTTCATTGAGTTCCTTGCCTCCAAAAGTACTGATTTTTTTTTTCTATGACCTCTCTCCCTTTGCTCAGGTTCTCCTACATATCATGAATTATTCTTTTAATTTCATTATATTGTCTCTGTTACTGTCTTTTGTCTCCGTAAGTTCTCCTAAAATCATTATTGGGGATAATTTCTTACAAATTTGAGTTCTACTTAAGTGTAAGGTTCCAGCTTGTGGAGAACATGAGTGTAACCCTCTCTAACAGAAATTTTAAGTTGGTTCCATCATTTCAAATGTCCAGAAGTGGAGATGCTATCTTCAGTGTATCTGACTTAGCATTTGTCACAAATCTTACATTATTTCCCATTTACAGGGCGATGCATTACCAAACCTGAGTTGATCTTCAAGTTGGAACAAGGATTTGGGCCACGGAAGGTAGCAGAAGGCCCAACCCAGAGCCTTCCAGGTCAGTCAGTGCACACTGTGGAGGGAGATCAGGAGGAAGAGAGCTCATAAGATGCTGGCTGTGTTGAGCTGTTTTCAACAATTTTCCTCCCACATCCATGTCTTAAAGACAGCTGGTCTCATGCATAAGATACCACTTTTATATATGTTCTAAAGAGAGCTCTCATGTATATCTAGCTCCCTGATTTTCTGTTGAAGTAAATTTTCTTAGATATGCCAAAAATCCTATCCCTGTGTGGAGCTGCACATAAATTTGTGTTGGGGAAATATTTTTTCAAAATTCTCAGTTGTCCTTCTTAATTTTAATAGCCTGGTTTTGATCATGCACTTGTTCATTTTAACTTCTGTTAATGCTTCCTATTTGATCCATTTGGGAACCAGTTTTTGTTTGTTTTTCGCAGTACTAGGGTTTGAACTCAGGGTTTTGTGCTTGCTAGTCAGGGACTCTACCACTTGAGCCACTCCACTTACCCCCTCTTTTTCTTTTCTTTCTTTATTTTTGCTTTTTGTTTGCACTGAGGTTTGAACTCAGAGCCTCATACTTGCCAGGCAGGTGCTCTATCACTTGCGACACTCTGTCAGCCCTCCCTAATTCTTTTCAGTGGAAAATAATACTTAGAAAACAAGATCTGATTACTGGCTGTGCACACCATGGTTTTCAGGCCCTTTTGATAGAGCAAGATAATGTGTGCACTTGCATATTAAAACCGATTTTACCGATAGCTGTTTTTTATTGATACCGCATATTCTAATTAAGCAAGACATGCTACATTCCAGTGTTTCCTCATTCTTTATTTGTAACTCTTAATCTGACAGTGATAAACCTAGATCTCATTATCTGCAGTATGTTTATTTATTTGCTCAATTTTGTTTTATTTTTTTACTATGTTTTGGTGCTGGGGATCATACACAGGGACTCCTACAGACTAGGCAAGTGTTCCAGCACTGGACTGCATCCCCAGAACAGCTGCTTAGTTTTAGAACATAGAAAAGCTATACAGAATTGCTATCACACCTCACTGGAAAAACAAATCTGGGGCTGGAGGTGTGGCTTATGTGGTAGATAGCCTGCCTAGCCAGTGCGGGGCCCTCAGGCACTGGTCTTTGTAATTGTAGTAATATCAGCAATAAACGCATTTCCTATTAAAGCGCTTACCTTTTTTTCTTTCTTTTGGCAGTATTGTGGTTTGAACTCAGGCCTCACACTTGCTCGGCAGTTGCTCTTCTACTTGAGCTATTCCACCAGCCCATGACTTACCTTTCTTGAGAGGAAAGTGGAAGGTTGGCAATGAGATAAGGCCGCCAACATTATTTACTAGGAGCAGAGAAGTCGCATATGCACTGTTCTGTTGCAGCGGTCACCTGTGGAGTTTGTAGGAAAGTAAGAGTTCTAGGGATGGAGACTTGGCTTAAGCTGTAGGCCACCCCACCATGTACAAAGCACTGAATTCAGAATGCTAGTACTCTCCCTGCCCCGACCCCCAACAAAAGATTTCTAGAATCAAGACTTAGGTACATACATAAGAATTAATGAAGAGTACCTTGCGTAGCAGCATGGTAATAGGTAATCCTGGACTAGGTAGGACAACCAGGAGGTCTTGTATATGAAGGTGAAGTGAATCAAACATTTCATATTGAAGGGCTTGGATTTTGTGTGTGTGTGTGTGTGGAATTGAATTTATAGTTAGTATTTCATTCTTCCCTCTCTCTCTTTTTTTTTGTTCTGCTTGTGGTATCATACATGATCATCAAACTGCTGCTAGAATGCTCACACCTGTTACTGCAAATTCAAATCCTGGGAAAGACTTCCTAGGAATTTACTTTAGGTCAAGGTCAGGCTTCCTGATACAAGGCTGAACCCACCTGCTGGGCAAGTTCAACAGCACAGGAGCCCTTCCCCAGACCATTCACCTTTCTCTTTGTGGAAATAATTCACAGACAACCTCCAAACAGAAAATGAAAGCCTCAAGAACCAGGAAATTCCCAAGTAGAGTGTATGTTCCTGGATCTAAGGTTAATGCTAATAATAATCTAGAAAAAATTATTTCAAAGGTGGTAGGCACAGCTTAGTTCAAATAAACACATTCTTTGATCCAGCAGGGAGGTAGACTGAAGATTCTTGAATCTCTTATGGTTCTGAGAAGTATAAGACAGATTCAATTAAAGATTCAGAGGAACCTGTCTTCTAGTGTAGGAGGAAGGTAATTTCCATTTAAAAACTGCTGTAGATTTCTACTCCATTTCCTCAGGGAAAAGTACCAAAAACTGAACATGGATATCTACCTATCCTTTCTCTAAACTGAATTCGTGTTTAGGTAAGAGACTTATACCTGCATTCTACAAATAGCTAACCCAGGAAAATCTTGCTATTTCCTATATGAAAGAGGAGTAGTGTAGGATGAGATTATATCCCATTATTGTATAAAAGAACTTTGGGGAAAGAACAGGGATAACAAATGGCAGCTGAAAGTTGCTGTGGTGAAACCTACAGAGCCTGGTAATAGGTCAGTATTTTGAAGGTGTCCACATTTTTCAAGAGTGAAGGAACTTGAAGTAACAAAGTAACTCCATTAATGCCATTTGTTTCTGTTAACTCATTGGAAACAAAGTCCACACTTTCATAAGTCCATACTATTTTGAAATATTACACCATTAGAATAAGAAGTCCCTCTTGCCTGTATGTTTGAATTCCATAATGATACTTTGGCTTGGTTCATGGATATTGCTACTTTTTTTAAATTTTATTTTAGATGTCCATAAAGTGAATGGCCTGATTGAGAACAGCCAGCAAAATCAAGAAAGACAGTTGTGGAAGGTTGTAATCACTAGCGGCAACATACCTGAACAGATGGTTCAACAAAGAAGAACATTTCATGGGATCTCAAAGTGTATTTCAAATCTGAACATAAAGAATGGAAACTACTCAAGAACGAGACCTGAGGAGCTTCATGGAGGGCAGAATGTGCTGCTCCACAGTGAGCCTGAGGAGATGCAGGCTGCACAGGAGCATGATGGTGTTATTGTAACTGAGAAGTCCCTCCGACATCCTGAGCATCTTAGTCTGCATAACAAGACTCACAGCTCACAGAGGCATCTTCACTATTTTGGATCAGGGAATGTGTTCAACACAAAGGCATTATTATTGTCTCACAAGTTTCATAAGGAAGAGACCTCTAGGAAGTTCAATGAATATGGCAAATCCTTTGATAAGGTAGCACTTATTGCCCAAGAAAAGACTCAGGTAAGGGAGAAAACTTTTGAATATAATGTATGTGGGATAGTTTTCTGTCAGAATTCTAAATGCCATAAACATGAGCAAATACACAAAAGAGAGAATTACAAATTTAGTGATTGTGAGAAACCTTTCAGTAAGAAATCAAACCTTTCAGGACATCAGGAAAAACATGCAGGAGAAAAGCCCCATGGACAAAAGGAATGTCAGAAATTCTTCGGTCAGAGGACAGAACCAAATATTCATCAGAAAATGGGTAGAGGGAAAACACTGTATGCCTGTAAAGTATGTGAAAAGAACTTTTACCAGAAGTCACACTTTAGCAGGCATCAGAGAACTCACAAAGGTGAGAAAAACTATGAATGTAAAGAATGTAGGAAAACATTCTTTTTTAAGTCAAACCTTACTGTACACCAGAGAGCTCATACAGGTGAGAAACCCTATGAGTGTGAAAAATGTACTAAAACTTTCAAACAAAGAGGACACCTCACTGTGCATCAGAGAACTCACACTGGTGACAAACCGTATGAATGTAATGAGTGTAGGAAAACGTTTAGACATTTTTCATCTCTCACTATACATCAGAGAATTCACACAGGTGAGAAACCCTATGAATGTAAAGACTGTAGGAAAACTTTCAACCGATTGGCGTCCATCACTGTACATCGCAGAACTCATACGGGTGAAAAGCCCTATGAATGTAAGAAATGTAGGAAAACTTTCATCTCTAAGTCAAATCTCACTGTACATCAGAGATTCCACACAGGTGAGAAACCCTATGAGTGTGAGAATTGTGGCAAAGCTTTCTTCTGTAAGTCGAACCTCACTTCCCATCAGAGAATTCACACAGGTGAGAAGCCCTATGAGTGTCAGGAGTGTAGGAAAGCTTTCAAACATTTTTCATCCCTCACTGTACATCAGAGAATTCACACAGGTGAGAAGCCCTATGAATGTAAAGACTGTATGAAAACTTTTTACCGTAAGTCACACCTCACTGTACATCAGAGAACGCATACGGGTGATAAACCCTATGAATGTAAAGAGTGCGGGAGAACGTTCAACCAGTTGTCACACTTGACTGTACACCAGCGAACACATAGAGGTAACAAACCCCACGAATGTAGCAAATGTGGGAAAACTTTCAATAAATTGGCATCTCTCAGTGTACATCAAAGGACTCATACAGGTTAGAAACCCTGTGGATGTAAACAACGTGAAGTCACTTTTTTAGAATGCAGTAAAAGTCTCTATTGCTACTCATCTGTAGCAGATATCTGAAACCACAAAGGTGCAAGGCCATATGAATAAAGAATGTCAAAAAACATTTTCACACATTTGAAACTTGTCACCAGAAGGTGATAAAGCACAGGAATGCAAATGTGTAGTAAGATGTTCTACCATAATTCACAACTCATTCTAGAAACCCTATACCTGTAAGGATTGTAGAAAACTTTTTCATCAGAAGTCACACATGAGGAATCAGGAGAACACATGAAAATGAGAAAGTCACTTCAGTGTAAAGACTGGGCAGACTGAAGATAGGGTTTACTGGTAAAGCACTTGCTCAGCCTGTGTGAAGCCCAGCAACACAGTGAAAAAGATGTAGAAAAATTTTATAGCAAAGGTCACACCTCACTGTATATTAGGAAACTCATGAAGGAAATCCTATAAATAGAATGAATGTTGGAGGCACTTTTACCAGAAAATGAGCCCTCAGCATACATCAGGTATCCACATGGGAGGCATCCCTAACTATGGGAATGCTTTTGTGAGAAGGCACACCTGAACAGGCAGCAGAACCTCAAAGAGATAGTCTATGTAACAGAAACTGGCTAATGTGCCCTCCATGATCCACTCTTTGGGTACAGAGGTAGCATTTTGTAGCCTTGCCTTATTGTGCATAAGACCACGTAACTGAGTTCATGATACACTATGGCTAAACATGATGATCACTACGTCATTCCTGGCACACACAAAACCTTCATTAACTTCTTTCCCCTGGGTTCTTATGCACTTCTGGATTGAAGTGATCATGACTTCATGGGTGGCCATAGTTATGAGATCACTATGGTTTAAGAGAAATGTAACTAATAGTAGAGAGAGAGGGGTCTTCTATTGCAAAACAGTATTTTTACATAAATGAGAAAAAAATTTTTTAAATTTTGGCAGTACTGAGGTTTGAACTCAGGGCCTCATGGTTGCCAGGCAGGTGCTCTACCACTTGAGCCATTCCTCCAGCCCTTTCCCCTTTTTAAAAAACTATTGTGCATGGTTTGTATTACAGTGCAAACCCATTATGGCTAATGTACTATAAAGTTTCTGAGAGAAGGTCCCTGACCTTTTATCTTAGAAAATTCACACAAGATAAAAGTCCATACTGTTTTATTCTCTAGTCAGTTTGTAAGGAAAAAGAAAAAAGCAGTTGTGAAGAAGTTGCAACAAATTAAGAATCACTTATAAGCTAAGTACATTTCATTGGTTGCTTTGGGTTTTTGATGTTTTTACTACTTTTGGCAGTTTTAGGTCTGAACACTTGGCCCTGCTTTTCCTAGACAAGCATTTTACTACTTGAGCCACACCTGCAGCCCCTTTCTGTTTTAGGTTATTTGTTCAGACAGGGTCTCATATTTTTGCTCAAACAGGCCTCAGACTCCAGTCCTACTTATATCTTCCATGTTGCTGCAGTTACAGGTGTGTGCTATAATTTTTAGTTTATTTGTTGAGATGGGAAGACATTCACTTTTTGGCCCAGCTGTCTTGGAACCACGGTCCTCCCACTTCACACACTGTAACTGATCCTTTTGAAGACAATAAGTCTTCATAAATTTAACTAATGGATGTTTTAAATTATGAAATTCATCAGAAGCTCTACTAATTTATGTAATTGGAAATTATTTGAAAATATTCATATACAAATAAAAATGGTATTGTCACTGTAGATGGGATTGTGTCTTGAAACATTTTTGATTGTTAGAACATCTACTCATACATGTGAAGTTTAATTATGTGAGTACTTTGAGTGACAGAAATCTTGCTTGACTGCACCCAGCAAAACTAGAGTACATTTAACCTTGTGTGAAAAACATACCACCCCGAGGTGTGAATATGCCTCAGTATTAGGGTACATCTTTGGAATGCACAAGGCTCGAGCAGCCATACCCAATAGTTTGCTACACTGAATGTCAGAGCATATTTGTATCTCATTGTCTCAGATAAACTACCCTGCCATATCCTTCCAGAGAATAGAATGGATGAGTATTTTGTTAGCATCTGTCCCTTCAGAAATTATTGTAGTGTATAAAGCTAACAGCCATCCTGTGTGTCTACTGTAAACATTGTTCATCAGGAAAGCCACAAATCAGGTACATGATTGTGAATATGATTGTTCACAGTTGATACCTGAATTAAAACACTTGTGATCAACAGTTGTTATTTCATGCTACTCAATGAAATGCAGTGTAGGGAATAATTATTTATTCCTGTTGTTCATACCTTTAAATAAAGCTGTAGCAAAGGTTGGAAATGAGCCAAATGCTGTGTAATTGATAATTAAATACATTTCCTTTCCCATTGAAAGACTGCTGTATGCCTTGCCACTGACTTGGTAAAATGATAACATGTCAATGGTAAGATGAGAACATGGGATATTTTGACTGTAGTTGTTGGTTTGTGTGTAAATAAGGCTGGATCCTAACCACACTATGAGTCTGTTCTTTATGTCTGTTCGTATTACAAAAGTACACAATAATAGCATGGTTTCTGTACTGCCTATAATGAGAAAAATAGTCGTGTTTTATATTCTATGATAGTGGCTGTAATTGTTTACAAAATTAATTGGTGAAAACTGTCCACAGAATATTTGGCTTGAGCCAACTCTGTTTTCTTTGGGAGGGAGGGGTTATTGGGAATAGTATGTGAACTCAGGGTTTTATGCCTATAAAGGCACTTGAGTTACACCTCCAGTACATTTTTATTTGGTGTTGGAGATGGTGGTCTCATGAAGAGCAGTTTTCCCTGGCTGTCTTTAAACCATGATCCTCTCGATCTCTGCCTCCTGAGTAGCTAGGTTTACAGGTGTGAGCTAACAGTGCCTGACTGCTTCATTTGCTTATTTATTTATTTTTGATGGTACTGGTGTTTGAACTCAGTCTTATGCTTGTTAGGCAGGTACTATACCACTTGAGCCACTCCTCCAGCCCTGTTTTGTGTTGAGTATTTTCCAGATAGGGTATCATGAACTATTTGCCTGGACTAGCTTTGCACCACAGTCCTGATCTCTGCGTCCTGAGTTGCTGGAGTTACAGGCGTGAGCCACTGGCACCAAGCTGCTTTATCATTTTTTGAGAAAGGATCTTGCTTTGTGGCTCCAGCTATCCTTGAACACACCATGTAGCTCAGGCACACCTGAAACTACTGATCTGCCTACTTCAGCTTCCTGAATGTTGTTATGACAGGCCTCTGTTTTCATATCAGTTTTGGTCAAAGTCTTGACTTTATTGTGTCACACACAGTTTTTGATGTTGTCTTTGGGTGGTACTAGGGTTTGAACTTGAACTCATACTTACTAGGCAAATATACCACACTTGAGCCCAGCCTCCAGCCCTCTACACAAGTTTCCAATAATTTTTCAACTGAACTCTGTGACATACTAGCATTTCATGGCATGCCTGGATATGTTCTCACAAAAACATAGAACACATAGTTATTAGTTGGAGGATATCGATCATTGTGGATAGATATGTCTGTTGGTTGCATATTGAGGCCTCACATATGTTTGAGATTGGCAGGACAGAAAGCTATCAAAATAGTATGATGACCTGAAGGGCTACTGAAATCATCCCAAGAGCCAGGGAGGGGAGGGGGCACTTATGGAAAGTATTCTATTTCTATTGGTATTTAAGAAATAGCCACAAATTTGCCCATTCAAAATCCTCCTGGGTGAGCTTCACAGCCACATCCTCAAACACCATTGACTCCTAAAACCATGCATACGGTATAGAGTAGGAAGGGTGAGACAGCACATGATATCTTACTCAATTCATGAGAAGTTCCCATGGTCTCTAAACATTCATTCCGTGACTTGGTCCCATAGTCACTGAGATGAAGAAATGAGTTATATATAAGGGCAATAGCAGAAAGAAGCACCCCTCTGGACTGTGGGTCATGAAGTTAGGATATACTGTCAGGTCACCTGTAATTTCTAATAACTGTCTTAAAGCTGTACTCATAAAACAGTAAACATTACAGTACTGACACTTTCCCTTTTGAAATGCCTGTTCATAATATTTGACCTTGGCTTCTATCATGGGAATTAAATATTTGAAGGGATCCCACCACATTAGTGGCCAGGACTATAATATTTGTTACACACCTGCTTTCATTCAGATTTTGAAATTCTGTTACATTTTAGAGAGTGCCTTCATGAGTCTCCCAAATCACAGGGAATGAGTGATCAGTGAGTATCTAATACACTAACTTGGAAAATATTTTATACACATTATCCCAAATTGCCACATGAGCCCATTCTATGATTATACTGAGAAGTCATGAAACTGGCAGCTGGTTTCCTCTACACCAATTTAATTGAGCACTATTTAAAAAAATTATTTTATTTTATTCATATGTGCATACAATATTTGGGTCATTTCTCCCCCCTTACCCGTGCACTCTCCCTTCCCCCGCCAACCCCGCTCCGTCCCTTACCCCTGTTACCCCTCCCTACCCAGCAGAAAAAAAACTTTTGCCCTTATCTCTAATTTTCTTGAAGAGAGAGTATAAGCAATAATAGGAAGGACCAAAGGTTTTTGCTAGTTGAGATAAGGATAGCTATACAGGGAGTTGACTCCCATTACTTTCCTGTACATGTGTGTTACATTCTAAATTAATTCTTCTCGAACTAACCTTTTCTCTAGTTCCTGGTCCTCTTCTCCTATTGGCCTCAGTTGCTTTAAAGCATCTGCTTTAGTTTCTCTGTGTTGAGGGCAACAAATACTATCTAGTTTTTTGGGTGTCTTACCTATCCTCATACCTCCCTTGTGTGCTCTCGCTTTATCATGTGATCAAAGTCCAATCCCCTTGTTGTGTTTGCCCTTGATCTAATGTCCGCATATGAGAGAGAACATAAGATTTTAGGTCTTCTAGCCTGGCTAACCTTGCTCCGGATGATGATCTCCAATTTTATCTGCCAATGATAACATTTTGTTCTTCATGGCTGCATAAAATTCCATTGTGTATAAATACCACATTTTTCCTAATCCATTGGGCAGTGGTGCGGCATCTTAGCTGTTTCCATAACTTGGCTATTGTGAATAGAGCTGCAATAAACATGGGTGTGCAGGTGCCTCTGGAGTAACCTGTGTCACATTCTTTTGGGTATATCCCCAAGAGTGGTATTGCTGGATCAAATGGTAGATCAATGTTTAGCTTTTTAAGTAGCCTCCAAATTTTTTTTCCAGAGTGGTTGTACTAGTTTACATTCCCACCAGCAGTGTAAGAGGGTCCTTTTTCCCCGCATCCTTGCCACCTGTTGTTCATGGTGTTGCTGATGATGGCTATTATAACAGGGGTGAGGTGCAATCTTAATGTGGTTTTAATTTGCATTTCCTTTATTGCTAGAGATGGTGAGCATTTTTTCATGTGTTTTCTGGCCATTTGAATTTCTTCTTTTGAGAAAGTTCTGTTTAGTTCACTCGCCCATTTCTTTATTGGTTCATTAATTTTGGGAGAACTTAGCTTTTTGAGTTCCCTATATATTCTGGTTATTAGTCCTTTGTCTGTGTCACATCAGACAAACCAGCTACACAGCTGGTAAATATTTTATTCCACTCTGTGGGTGTTCTCTTAAGTTTAGAGACCATTTCTTTTGATGAACAGAAGCTTTTTAGTTTTATGAAGTCCCATTTATCTATGCTATCTCTTAGTTGCTGAGCTGCTGGGGTTCCACTGAGAAAGTTCTTGCCTATACCTATTAATTCCAGAGTATTTCCTACTCTTTCCTGTACCATCTTTAAGTTTGGGATCTGATATTAGGATCCTTGATCCATTTGGAGTTAATATTGGTATAGGGTGGTAAACATGGATCTAGTTTCAGTTTTTTGCAGACTGCTAACCAGTTTTCCCAGCAGTTTTTGTTGAAGAGGCTGCTATTTCTCCATCGTATATTTTTAGCGCCTTTGTCAAAGACAAGTTGGTTATAGTTGTGTGGCTTCATATCTGGCCTCCTTTATTCTGTTCCACTGGTCTTCATGTCTGTTTTTGTGCCAGTACCATGCTGTTTTTATCGTTATTGCTTTGTAATATAGTTTGAAGTCAGGTATCATGATACCTGCAGCATTGTTCTTTGGACTGAGTATTGCCTTGGCTATGCGTGGCCTCTTGCGTTTCCAGATAAATTTAACGGTAGATTTTTCAATCTCTTTAATGAATGTCATTGGGATTTTGATGGCAATTGCATTAAACATGTGGATTGCTTTTGGGAGTATAGACATTTTTACTATGTTGATTCTACCAATCCGTGAGCATGGGAGATCTCTCCACTTTCTGTAGTCTTCCTCAATCTCTTTCTTCAGGAGTTCATAGTTTTCCTTGTAGAGGTCATTCACATCCTTTGTTAAGTTTACATCTAGGTATTTGATTTTGTTTGAGGGTATTGTAAATGGAATTGTTTTCCTATATTCTTTCTCTGTTTGTTCATTATTAGTGTATAGAAATGCTAATGATTTTTTATGTTGATTTTATATCCTGCTGCCTTGCTATAGCTATTGATGGTGTCTAGGAGCTTCTGAGTAGAGTTTTTTTGGGTCTTTAAGGTATAGGATCATATCTTCTGCAAATAGGGATATTTTGGCAGTGTTTTTACCTATTTGTATTCCTTTTATTCCTTCTTCTTGCCTAATTGCCTTGGCTAGGAA